CTGAAACTGCAATTTTATACATTACTAAAGTCCTTAATTTGCTGAAGAAAAATATAAACCCAAACAAAAATCCTGCAATGCCACAGAGAGTTGTCTGTATCATGTAAACAGCTTTATCTGCTGATAAACCACCCACAGAAAATAGGGTTTGGAATGGGTCTGGAGGCCATTCAGAGGTTCCTCCTACACCAAGATAAAATCAATATTTTCTACATTGCTTGAAAGATTTTCATCTACCTGGAGACTGTCCTCCAAAGATGGCAATCCAACAGCTTACTACCTTGGTAACATGTTTCAGTATTTACCATACCCCACATTTTGAAAGTTTCTCCTACCTCAGCTGAAGCTTCCATGCTAAATTGTAGAGGTATTTTTTCTTCTCCTGACCTCACTGGAAATCAAGACCAGTTTGTGAATGCTTTCTTTACAGAATCTTCTATGTACTTATTTCTCCCCACAATATTTTCCTTCCAGAACAAAACAATGCAATTTATTTTAGGGTCATGGCTTCCAGACTTCCCACCCTTTTACTGTATTCCACTCTCCCTAATTGTCAGATGATTTTTTATTTTTTTTTTCACTGCAGTAACCAAAGTTGGACGTATTTTAACTTTAAACTTCAGAACATCAAGTATGAGAGGAGGTTATTTTACGCATTTTACACTGCTGTCAACACATCTTGGCATAAGGTCTATTTTTGTTGGAACTGGTATGACATTGTTGATTCACAAAGTTTGCAGTCTGGTAGAACGGTCAGATACCCGTCACTGCAGAACTTCTGCCTAGCCAGGCATTCTGTACTCCTGCAGTAAATCATTTCTAACTGGGGGTGAAATTCACTCTTTGCTGGATGTCTGCTAAAGGACACCTTCTCAAAGGTTAGATGTCCAATCTAATCTAAACTAGTCTCTACAAAACGCCTCTGAACGCAGTGAAGAGTGACAGTGCATCTCATCCCATGCTAAGATGTATGTGGGATGAACTGCCCTCAAGAGAGGCACTCTTCTCCTCACATTTAAGTGAGGTAAATTGGATAGTTAAATACTGGTTTATAGCTAAGTTTAACAATAGCTGTCCCTTGTCCATGAGTAAAATATACTTCATATGCGCTGTGCATTTTCCTCATTGATCTGGATTCTGTTTCTCACAAACCAGGAAAAGAACATAAATAATTTTATACACTTTATGCATTTATTAATATCCAACACACTTGTGTCCCCTCCCAGCTTAATGCCTCTGGCCATGCTTGGTAAGGTAATTAAGCCTCTTAACCAAAAGCATTGCACAATGCCAGGACCAGGAGAGAGCCCTTACAAACAAAACCCCCAGCCCTAAGTTTTTAGAAACAAGCAGTATGGATGGTCCAAACAGTCTGAGAACAAATTTAAGAATTTAACACATACAAATAAGAAACACACACATCTGTTCTCATAATCGACAGTAATGTTTTTAATGACGCACAGAAATTCATGTTTAAGTCAGATAAATTAATTTTCCATAAGAAGAACCGAGACCTTTAAAAATTGCTGCTACCTGGCATGCTCAAATATTAACTCTCTTTGTCAATGGAATAAGAGCTGCAGAAAACACTGCCAAGGCACTTCAAAACCGTTCAAATGCCAGTCAAACAAGAATTCCAGAAAAAGAAAAGGGATAAATATGGCACAGCAAGGGGCATTACAGCATCCAACACTTACCACACATGAAAAATATCCTCATCTAGAACCTGTTCCTTTCTAGGAAGAAAGCAATCCAAAGTTTTGATCACAGAGGTAGCTTACTTGCATGGTTCTCAGATCTATGTCCTCTCCTCCCCATTCTCAGGCAACTAGATACACTTTTCATAATACTCAGTCTTTGCAAAAGAACACAGTAGATCCTCTTCAAAGCCTTTTCTCCACATAACCAAACAGCAGAACTACAAGTCATTTTGCACATCTTTACCTTGACCAGAACTTCCATTTAAGAGTTGGCCACCTTAAATCTGCATCACTGACACACATATCCTAATGAACAAGTATCTCTAATACATGCTCAACCCCTATATAGACACTACTCTGTTTTTTGATAAATTCAGTGCACATGGTGGCAGTGATAGGGTAGCAATAACTGAATACATAGTTTTGGAAATTTGAGAGGGAAGCATCCCTAGATATTTCTATGTATTTCAGTCTGGTTAGAAGGCTCTCACTTCCTTAGAAGCCTCTCTCTGAGCACAGTTTTTAGGTATTACACAATATAACTCAATTTCTGACTATAATACACTGTGCATTTGAGGTTTTAAAATGTTTATGTTCGCTTCCTTGCCAGACTTGGCAATTCCATGCACACACAACACCTGAAGTTCCACCTAAAACTGGAGATCTGATTTCTGCCCTGAGATGTATTTTATTGTTCAAATTTGGCATGTGTCCTTGAATAATTTTGCTAGTGATCTACAAAATGGCAGCTGTTTTTACAAACTGTGGAATGATTATCTATTCCCTTCTGTTTTCTTCCTACTTCTATATATACAAGTCTTTGTACAAATAATTATGTGGGATTTGAACAAAGGAAGGGAACTGACTATGATTCCTGTGCAGCCGATGTGCATGCAGGTGAACAGCTTTCTTTCCACAGCTTTTCTTTTGGGCTGATCCCTATTCCTTACCTCAAAAGGATTGTATTTTACGCTACTGCTGCAGAGTCCCCTGCTTCTTCAGTCAACCAATCTCAATCCCGCTGTCCATGTTGCTGAAAATGCAGAGATGCCCTGCAAATGCAAATGACTACTCTCCAGATTTGGTTTTACAGTGGTAAAAAAAAGATACTGCTTGGGCTTCCTGAACTGAAATGAATTTCAAACAGATTAAAAGCTTTAAATAGAGCAAGGACATTATTTTTAATATTTTCTACCAGAAATTCACTACGTGCATGCTCTTCTTTCAGCCCAAAGGTAACAATTAGTCACTCAATCAAATAGATACATAACCAGTACGTCTTACTAATACACTGCATAGCTGTGTCTACCACGTGAGACCACAGGCATGTATATTATGTAGAGAAGTGGCTTGGAGGACCCCTGCCACTCACCCACTACCACCATTCCTACTTCTCCAAGCAAGTTAAGCATATTTACGTTTAATTTCCCACAAGGTTAATAAAAAAAAACTTCCATTGAAGACAGAAAACTAGATCATCTCACTTGTCCCTGGGCTAAAAGGTATGACCAAACAATTTATATTGAAATATTTAATTTGAATACAATGAAATCTTGGCTGATTTTCGGTTTGTACACATAAGTTGTAAGAATCAGTAGTAGAGTATGTACATAGTTACCTGCGTGATCTGAGGATACAGGCATATATATCTTATCACCTAGGTTGATACTAGTAGTGTATAAGCTGCACTAAGGAAAAAACATAAAGGTCTAAAAATAAAGTTAATTTGATAAACACATCACTGGAAACACATCAAGCAAGGTGTCCCTGCTTGATCAGGGTTCTTGGACCAGATGACCAGAGGTCCCTTCCAACCTCAACCAGTCTGTGAAACCCTGTTGCAAATGACCTCATTTGCTCTTCATATCTCAGACCCCTGGAACCTCATACTGAAGTACCTACATGCACTCACAGCATATGACGAACAGAAGACCAAAGAATTATATATAAAATGAAGAAAAAACAAAAACCATAGAAAATCAATCGATAATTGATCCAGTTTAATAAAATACTGCTCAACTTGCTAAAACATTGTCCTTCTTCAATGCAAAAATCAGCATTCTGTCAACTGTTAATCCTTCTGATGAGGAAGACATACTTTCTCCACTTATAATATATAGATTGCATTTAGAAAATACTTTGCATTAAATTATAACCATGAAATGGATAATTTCAGTAGATACTTTTTTTTAATCCATACAAATTGATGTCTAACTCTACTTCCAAACTTGTTCTCTTCGTTTTATTTTTATACTGAAACTATTAGCCAACTGATTGGGAGGAGGGGGACAATTTAACAGAGGTTTTTAAGAAAACAGAGGATGAATCTTTTATGCTTTCAGACCAAAAACCCAAACATGAATAAGTATTTCACCCCATCTTCCCTGCCTAGTATTAAAAAAGCTTCAGCTATGTTTTATGATGAAAATTTTACCTTCTCAATGTTTTTTCAAACTTTATCTCTTGAACACAGAAGATAAATAATTAATTTTATGTACAAAACTTACTTGTTCATAGTTTCATTATTTTAGGATTCTTAAGTAAGACCCCAGAGCTGACCTGTAAACCACCACAAGGAACACATTGAGATAAGACTGCACAAAGAAGCAACAGATAATGGCAGTCCTCATACTGGAAATCTTCTAAGCACAGAAGCCTACTAGTACTTCTATGTCCAGGAAGAAATGTTTCTCTACAAGATCATTGTTTGACAAAGTAGGGCCCTGGCAGCCATGAAAACCTAAGAAGTGAACTGGTCCCACCTGTAATTGAACTCTAGCAAAAAAAAATAAAGCTGGATTTGTTCCAAACACCACCATGAGCTTATACCATCACCCAAGTTCCCGTATACTCAAACTCTAGCTTCAGTATTCAGAAGGTCCCTACCCTGATTGATCCACTGCCAAAAAACTTTAATTGCTCAATTATGCTGTATTATACAGATGTTATTCACTAACATTAGCATACCTTCTCTTACTAATGCACATGAAATACAGAGCAGGAAAAAAACTCAGTTGGCTAACCTGTCACATATGTATTACTTATCTTCAGTGATTTCACTGACAGAGACACCTGATAACTCCCTTTCTGCACTTTATGAGAGAAATCCAAAGTTACTTTGCAGTCACGCAGCATGTATCATTATTTAGATTTTATCAGACAGATTTTTGATAGTTTTGAACAGGAACAGAAAAAAAAGTTACTCCCAACTAGTGCACTGAGAGAAGCACCTGGCTCAGCACATCCAAGGTAAATTCTGGAAAGTTCTATTATATAGAAAGCACATAAAAATAAACTTGCCTTCCATAAAGATCCTGTTCCAGTAGATTTTTCCAACATGATTTCCCCCAAGAAATATTAGGTTTGATAAAATCAACATCGAAGTGCAAACAGATGCTAGAATGGCATGAAGTCGACGACGAATTCTTGGCGAGAAGAAATGCTCCTGAGGGCCGAAACAAAAGGTGCAGATGAACTTAACAACCCCACAATTTTTCAAGCAATGTTAAAAAAAGACATTGTAGTTATGACAAACAACTTTTATACCAAAGTTCAAATCCTTACTGAACAGATCCCAAAGCTTGTAACTTATCTAGCAGAACTCCCACCAATGCCATTTAGGTTAGGGTCAGATTTTATGATATAAAGCAGTGTTGAATGGTAGTTAGGGGTGGAAAGGACCTCTGGAGGTCACTTAGTCCAACATCCCTGCTCACAGCAGGGTTGTTAGCTAGAACAGGTTGCCCAGAACTGTACCAAGTCGAGTTTCTTCCCCCACACTATTAGGTACCTACACACTTTGTAAGACACCCCCGAACCTTCTCTTTTCCATGCTGAACAGTCCCTGTTCTCATATGTCAGATGCTCAAGTCCTCCCTTCATCATGTTTGTTGGACTCACACCAGTATATCCATGGCTTTCTCACACCAGGGAGCCCAGAACCGGACACAGTTCTCTATACATTCTGTGTTTTAGTTCTTTGCTTCTTAAATGTAGTCTTTGAAGAATTTTTGCTGATGGATGTGAACACTATCAACAAGATGCTAGGGTGGATAAAACTATGCAACAGATTCCAGTATGGAGTAAAACACATCACTACAAATCAAGTACCATAAAGAATTTTGGAAGTCAATAATGCTTTGGTTGATTAATAAGACTTCACTGAAAGATTCCAGAGTCAGATCAGAGTGGGTTATTGGAATGAGTCTCTTAAGAAGCAGGTATTTCCTTATAAAAGTGACTTAAATACACATGCAATCCCAATGTTTTTTCATTGCAAGTATTACTACTCACATTCAAAAAGTATAGATACCAGTTGTAAAGCTCTTGGTATCGTCCTAATGATAAAAATAAAGCAAGCCTCCCTCCGTCATATACTAGTGTTACTTTTTCTACATTTATGTTTTCCTTTATCACCTGAGGTGCAAGTGCAGCAAGTGCAGTTCTGCAAATTGCAGAAAGGCAGTGAAAGAAGAATGAGAAAGTTTTAGCTTCTTCCAATTCTCAGTTGTTAAATCATAAAAATCATTATAGCACAATAAGGGGAAATACTGCCTCATTACAGTACTGCGTAAGAAAAAAAATATCTTGTTCATCATGTCCCCAGGCTGCAAGCCTCTTTAAATAGTGCCTGAATCTGCAAAAGACTGAATGGTTCTTGCAAAGTGATCAAAGTGATGAGCATTGCCAGTGTATGGGAACTAAGGAAAATATCATGAGGTGCTTAGCCTTCAAGTCATAAATGTTGATGTTGCAGAAAACAGTCTTGTGACTGTAGTATTAAAAAAAAAAAATTATAAATGCGGTAATAAATCTGTAATAGCTGCAGCCAGATTAAAATTCATGCTCAGATACCTGAACAGACCTAAAAATACATTCCCAGACAATTACATTGCTAGTTTTATACGCATCAAAACAAATGTTTCAACTTATAGATTATTAAGTCACAAAATTTCAAATAAATGAATTACAAGCATGAAAATATAATTTTAACATATTAGTGCAGAGTACATCTCTGGTATCTAGTGTAGGAGTCTATCTGAGCTATCACAACAATGGAGATAGATACGCTTCTGTCAATCTGTATGCACAATACTATAATAGCTGATCTTCCATATAGCACTGAGAAAAACATTCATATATGAACACAGGGATTGAGACTTTCCTCTAAAAACTCTGGATCAAAACTAGGGCATCATAGGGAAAGGGAGGAGAATTTAAGAAAAGTATATAAACATTCACAGACACAGGCAGTTAGTGAAACAACTCTTTCACTTCCTAGTACTTTGCATTCCCAAAGATGCCCACAATGTTCTCCTTCAGTCACAGATATCTTGTCTCCTTCTGAAATGCAGAGCATGAACGTGTATTCCCCTATATAAAAACATAAACCTTTTCAGAACACATAAATGTACACACACACACACAGATGAAATGTTCCAAATCTTGCCAGTAAATCCATGTTAAAAACTAAGATTAAATAAGGGATAGTTATGGTCCTTTTGTGTTATGACCTTCTGTGTTCAGAGTCACCAAGCTTTCCATCTTCTTACACCATGTTGGATAATTCTGACTGAGTTGTAGGTTATTTACATAGTCTACCACCAGATCTATTTTCACTCTCCTTTTCTCTAACAAACTTCTATGTCAACTCCATAGAGAAACAGTTTCAGTTAGGAAAAAGCGCTAGAGATGGGCAATCCATCAGACAGTGTGTGTTTGACTGCATTTTCCACCAAGGCACTGATTAGACCTGTTAAGTTTGTGAGGTCTGCCTGTTTTGCAACCCAATGCAGTAAGACTAAGACAAACAACATGTCTAGCTATAAAACCTCTGACACTTTTTTTTTTTTTAATGAATACAGTTACTAAAAAAATAAATAAAACTGTCACATATAATGTATCACCCTCTACAAAAGTGCTATATGTTAAACAGTACAAATGAACTGTAGTATGTACCATAAAAGCATCTGGTCATTTATAAGATATAAAGGAGTGGTTTAAGACAGGAACAGTTTAGACAAACACCAAGCCATTTCTGGGCTGTACTGTAGCTAATTTCCATTAACTTTGCAAGGCATTGATCCAAAAAGTTGCACAAATTTTCTTGAGGGCCTTTGATTTGATGTCTCTGCAGCTTCTACCCAGCTGCAACAAAGGTTAAAAAAAATTAGAAGTTCCTTAAAAATCTCATGTCATCTAGAAAAAACTAACTATAGAAGTACCTGAGCAGTTATTGTGCTCAAATTATTACACTGGAAGCATTAATTTAAGTATGAAAAAGGACTGAGGCTGGTCATTGTAATGTTTGTGATTTAAATATCTACTGGCATATAGATTTTTTCTCAACCTACAAGTCATTTTCATCAAAGCACACAAAATTTAAATAAATAAATAAATCACACCCACAGTTCTTCACCGTGCTATTTAATGCCTTTAACAATACATTCCATTGCCACAACACAAGCAGCTGTTCTGGATTTGTGGTGTTTCTCTGGAAAAGAAGGAAGCCATCTCCTTGTTTTGCTGTCTCCTTCTCCTCTCCCTGTTAGAAATACTGCCAGGAGAGAAAGTGGTGAAAGAATACCTCATGTTAAAATGACAATGAAGCTACAGTTGCCTGGATGATACCCGTAAATTTACATCCTTCCTTGATGCTCTGATGCTCTTACTTAGAATCACAGAATATCCTGAGTTGGAAGGGATCCACAAGGATAATCAAGTCCAACTCCTGGGTCTCCAAAGCACCAAACAAAAAATCAGACACTGTGTCTGAGAGCATTGTCCAAATGCTTCTTGAGCTCTAGCTGGCTCAGTCCTATGACCACGGCCCTGAGGAGCCTGTCCCAGTGCCGTACCCCCCTCTGGGTGCAGAACCTTTCCCTAACCCCCAGCCTGACCCTCCCCTGTCCCAGCTCCATGCCGTGCCCTTGGGTCCTGTTGCTGTCCCCAGAGAGCAGAGCTCAGCGCCTGCCCCTCCGCTCCCCTCGTGAGAGAGCTGCAGGCCGCCATGAGGCCTCCCCTCAGCCTGCTCTGCTCGGGGCTGGGCAAACCAAGGGACCTCAGCCACTCCTCATGTGTCTTCTCCTGACCATTCACCATCTTTGTAGCCTTCCTTTGGATACTCTCCAACAGTTTTATATCTTCCTTTTACTGTGGTGCTCAGAACTGCACACAGTACTTGAGGTGAGGCTGCACCATTGCAGAGCTGAGCAGGACAATCCCTTCCCTCAACCAGCTGGCAGTGCTGTGCCTGATGCACCCCAGGGTACAGTTGGCCCTTCTGGCTGCCAAAACACACAGCTGGCTCATATTCAACTTGCTGTCAACCAAAACCCCCAGATCTCTTTCTGCTGGGCTGACCTCCAGCATCTCATCCCCCAGTCCGTATGTACAGCCAGGGTTGCCCCTTCCCAGGTGCAGAATCTGGCACTTCTTCTTGTTGAACTTCATACTGTTGGTGATTACCCAGCTCTCCAGCCTGTCTAGACCTCTCTGCAAGGCCTCACCACCCACGACGGAATCAACAGTTCCGTCCAATTTGTTATCGTCCACACACTTGTACAAAAAAAACCCTTCAAGTCCTACAAACAAATACTTTATGAAAACATTGCATTGAAAATGACTGGTCCTAAAATGAATTCCTGGGGAACCCCATTAGTGACAAGTCATCAGCCTGATGTAACCCCATTTACTATAATCCTTTGGGCCCGAACTGTCAGCCAATTGTTCACCCATCTTATTTTACTGTTATCTAACTGTATTCAGGTCATTTTGTCTTGGAGGATACTGTGAGAGACAGTATCAAAAGCTTCACTGAAATCCAGAAAGATTACATCAGCGGCCTCCCTTTGGTCAACTAGCAGGGTGATCTTGTAGTAAAACAAAATCAAGGTTGTTAAACATGACCTCCCCCTTGTGAATCCATGTTGGCTGTTACCAATGACTGCATTGTCCTTCAGGTGTTTTTCAGTAACTCCTAGAATCATCTTCTCCATAATTTTACCAGGCACTGAAGTAAGACTGACAGGCCTGTAATTGACAGGATCTTCTTTCTTGCCCTTCTTGAAAGCCGGGACCACATTTGCCAGCTTCCAGTCAAATGGGACCTCTCCAGATTACCACAACCATTGAAAAATAATTGAGAGAGGTCCCACAATGACTTCAGCCAGCTCTCTGAGTCCTCTGGGATGAATCCCATCAAGCCCCATGTACTTACACGCATCCAAGTGGAGCAGCAAATCCTGCACAAGTTCAGGATTGACTGGGAGTTTATGGTTCATCATTCCCACAGTCACAAACTGATCACTATTTGTGATATAGTCACTATTTGTAACCTAACATCAATACTTCATAATACTTTACTTCCACTAGACACTTTTTATCTCCTAGTGCAACACAGATGGACCGTAGCCTTTAAAATACACATTACCAGGATACTCAGTC